GTTTCCTGGCTTTTGTTTAGCTCAGTGTTGCAGTACCGGGCACTGCTTCCATTGCACCATAAATCGAGCACATGAAAATGTTTTATTTGAAGAAGAAAGGGAGGCTATTTATGTCATTTGGTTCTCTGTTAGATATTAAGCCACTTAAAAGTAAAATCAAACTGCTTTCTGTGATAATTAATTGTTATTTCTTGGACTCTTTGAATCCGATAAACTTCTCAAAATGCTTTTAAATGACAAAAAAAAGTCCCAAGTCCAGAATGCAGGCCGATGCTGCTGCACCTGACAGCAGCCAGATATGTCAAAGGAACTCTGTTTAACATCATTTCAGGGAAACATTAAAAAAATAAAAATAGATGCTGAGATTTGGTTTACCAGTGATCCAAAAATACACTTTGGGGATGGTAATCTATGAGCAATGGAGTGGTGTGCTTTTCCCATTTAGTCTTGTCTGTACCACGAATTAGCTGGCCCCACTGAACTGGGCCTCGCTGGTGCTGCCATGAATAGAAATCCCTGCCACAGGTCAGGGCCGACTTCCAGAATGATTTTTGTCTGCCGGCCATGACTCTGTCTCCGAAATCACAAAGGCTTATTTGAGAAGTAAATCCTCTTGCCTTTTTTTTTTTTTTTTCAGGAGCATTGCATGAATCTCACAGTGAGAGTCCAAAGAAGAAAGATGACAAAAAAAAACATAGTCCTTCTTCTTCTGCATTCAAAAAACACAAATAAGTTGAAGTATTCCTTGTTGAGTAAAACATTCTCCAAAATATATATGTTGTTAGTTGACTGCTGCACAAAGCTTGCATGTTCACTTGCACAAGCTTGTCCAATCCTTATTGATTTTGTCGCTGAATATTGCCCAAGTGTCATTATCCACCTCAGGATGATGTGTGTGTCTGTATATTATTAAATCTCACTGTAATATTTTTTTCGACTGCTGATGCATGTATCTCCTGTTAACTGCAGCAGCTGCTGACTGAAGCGAATAACCTGGTTACAGATTTCATATCAGAAAGGGCGAAAGAAAGAAGGGGAAAGAAAAGAAGAGAGAAACATGAGATTGAATATTCGAAAGACATTTGGAAACAAAATTAGGGGTTTACAGCTGAAAGGAAAGACAAGGACAAATAATATGAGAGAGAGAGAGAAAGAGAGAGAGAGAGAGAGAGAAGGGAGAGATGGATGGGTGTGATTCTTATTCACAAGGACATTTGAGCTTTGCCTCATGGCCAGACATGAATGAGTAGATTTCAATAGTATCGACTGTTGCTTCGGACATCAGCAAACACACACGCAGATACACCCACACCTACTGACGCACAAGCACAAACACCGCAGTCCGTCTGGAATACAGAGTGGACCTGTGTGCGGCTCTGCTCATGCTTTTCATGCTAAAAAAACTCACACACACACACTGTACAGACAGGCCGTTTACTTCCTCTGTTTCCTCTATCTGTGTCATGAGGGCAAATATTTAATATCTGACAGCAGGGTTTTAAATAGCAGTGTTTTCTTTGTCTTTTGGCCGGTGAAATAAGTCTTCAGAATGGTCTGATTTACTCTGCACGGTTTGAAAAATACTGTTTTTTTCTGTTTCAAAATCCAAGAAAACAAAAGAAGCATTTTATTTTCTATATACGTTTGTGTTTTCATTCATTTTTGGCAGTGTTTCTGTTCTAGTTATGCCACGCATGTGAGCTGCACTGATATGCATATGCATTGGGACCATGAGACAAAAGTTACCAAGCTGTCCATTGAAATCCCTGTCATGCATCATATTCGCGAAAAAAATAAAAAAAAGCTCTTTTGTGGTTTCAGACAATTTTTCCAAGTCTTGGGCTAAACTCATTGAATTTTCCAAAAAATGTCCCAGAAGTTAAAACAGGGTTTCCTGATAGGTTGGCATTGTTGAGTTACATAGTTTTCACTGGACAGCAACAACATGCTGCTGTGATAATTAGGGGTTTCACATCTATGGAAATGGCTGCTGCTAAGATTACTTTATTCTTTTTAAATAATAAAAATATTTTTTATGATATTTATGGTTTCTACCTGAAAATATGGCATCTGTAATTAGTATACATTGCTCTGATGATAGTCCATGGGGTTGATAGTTTCTTATAAAATGTTTATATGGTTCGTTTTTGTGGTGGTTAAAATGTACAGTGCTGTAATTACCCTAGAATAAGATGTGCCAGGGCTTTCAGGGTAGTGTAAAGCACAGTGAGAGAGAAGTATGGAGTACAAGGGTGGCAGAGGCTGAGGGTAGACTTCACAGGCTGTAAATTTTAACTGGACTTTCAGGGCTGTTGGACATGAACATTTTGTTCTCAGGAGAGTTTTGTTTTCTCTTTTACACAGCATATTTAAGATTGTTCTTAATTAAATACCACATTCAATTACAGAGACATGTATTAAGATACTTTTGCAAGCACTTCGGTCAGTTCAGTTCTATGGTGCATCAAGTTAAAATATGCTGTATAGTGTGTTTTTCAATATCTTTCGTCCCTCAGAGTCTCTAAATTGTCGATACATGATCTGGTATGTGTGAGAGATGGTGTGTGTTCACCAGAGAGATGAGATGAATGACACAGCTTGGCCTGTCTTGTAATAAAATGTAAGAGTGGCACTTTCACGCTTGTCAACAATCTCTAAATATACCCATGGACCGGGAAGTGTGTGCTCATACACACACACATACACACATTCAGACAAGCCTGCGGTTTTGACTGCTTTTCTCTCTGTCTCCATTAGAAAAAAAATAAAATAACTTCAGCTGCTTTCCTTCCCGACAGTCTCAGCAGTCTCACACACACACATACAAACACACACGAGTCACAGTCGACAAGACATTTTTATAACAAAAATTGGATTCCTCTTCGTTCCTCTCTAAAACTCAGCAGACACACTGGAAAACTCGATCTGACAAGTTTCAGCGCCGTGTTGGAACAGCAAAAGCGTTGGTTACACACTCAAAGCAGCCATGCAAGAAAAATATTTACAACAAAAAGGAAGGCTTCGATAAGACGGCACTCTTTGTCGCCAGTGTAGTTATTTGGATCCCACTTTTTCCCTTTCACTCTTCTGATCCTGACACTCAGAACTGCTTATATTTCTTTCCTCCAGCTGTCGATCAAAGGCGTTCAACATCTGGAAGAGAGTGAGGAAGATAAAACATGTTATTCTAGTTTAGATAGGAAACTTATTTGGAAACCACCATTCTCATCATTGGAGGCCCAAAGTAATATTTTGTATCTATAACACCACCAACCCCAGATTTTTTGTTTCAACAAGCAAATAACATCCTATCATTATTTTTAAAGAACAATAATAATGTTTATGACCACATTTACCAGTTATTTTACAAAGGATCTGTGACTTCTCCCACAGCCCCTCTCTCAGTAGCTCATATTTCCTGAGTGAAATTCCCCCCTCAGAATGATGTTAAGGCACATTGTTGTTGACACCGCAATTTCGCCGACTGGTATAACATTGTCACTTAAAGTGCAGATTTGACGTGAAAAGCCCTCCTCGCTGTTTGTATTTAATATCGCGCCGACAGCTGTATCATTCTTGCACACTGTAATCAAATTATGACAGCGTGGTAAATGTTCCCCTGTGACATTTTCTATTATAAAATGCATATACCCGGTGTCAGACAATGTGTGGGTGGTATCCCTCAGTGGCAAATGGGATTGTAAGTGGCACCGGCTGACATTATGCGCGTGTGCGTAAGATGTAATTGCACTTGTATATTGATGATATGCATAGGTGTATGTCATCTGGAATTATGATTGTTGTTTTAGAGACAAGGTGAAAAACATCACTGACTTTAAGCAGCTTTATGACACTTCTATTAGTGTGATATTACAAGAAGAGTTGGAATTTATTGTGAACTACACACGTAAGAATAATATTTTGAACATGTGAAAGCATCCATACAAAAGCGCACACAGAAGTTAAATGCAGAGGGACAGCTGAAGGGCTCCTCGGTATCACTTTCTAGAGGCCTCGTCACATACACGTGTGTATGTGTGTGTTGGTGCGTGTGTGCACACAAGACCACCGGGCCAGAAGGCAGCCAGCTTGTGTCAATCACCCAGGGAGATGAGATTTGTACCCTTTGCTCTGATATCACACCCTCTCCTCTCCTCTCCTTTCCTTATTTCCTCTCCTCATTTCCTCTCCCCTGCCCTCTTTCTTTCCTCCCCTCAAGTTTTCTTGTCCCCTCTCCTCTCCTCTCCTCTCCTCTCCTCTCCTCTCCTCCCCTGTTGCGGCCTGTAAGGAAATATCCAGTGTCCTCTTATTGGATTGGCTGCTTCACGTTGGCCCTTCACTCGCCGCCCCTCGGCCTGCTGGGTAATGATAATAAAATTGAAATATCCCGGTACTTATCAGTGTATTACCTCGCTATCAACACCTCAGACACACTCCTACTTTAGAGGTTATACAGGAGAAAGCGTGATCTGATATACAGCGCGAACAGCGAGAGGACACCAGCCCGAGGAAGTGAGAAAGACGGAGAGAGAGGAGGAGAGGGAGTAAAGTGATAGACAGAGAAAGGGATGGGGGGAGAAAGAAAGAAAGGAGTTTTGTCATGGCTACACTTTCAAGGTGCTATTTCCAGGATGGATTGCGGTAGGTAGGGAAGAGAGGGTGAAAAGAGGAGGTGGTGGAGGAGGAGGAAAAGAGGCGTGTAATGTGACTCTGTGGCATCTGTCCAGACCAGAGGCGTGTTAGCGTAAGCCGTTCTCAACACTCCACACTAGTCTACTGTACATTTGCGGTAATGTAAAACATCTCACATCTCCCGATCTCTCTCTGTCTCCTGGCCCTCTCCTCTCTCCTTCCTCTTGGCAGTTGTTGGTGTGTGTGTGTCTTTGTGTGTGTGGGAGGTGGGGGAGCGTGCCAAAGCCGAGATCAGGTTTGGAAATTGATTTGAATGAGTGTTGTGGACAGCTGATAGCTATAAAAGATTTTCTCCTTTCATTTCCCAGGGAGTTTCTCCTTTGATGTTGGCTGGTAGTCAACTCAGCTTTGAAGCTCGTCTAGAGCGGGCCGAGCCACCACTTGATACTGTGTGAGTTTGTATTTGTTGTGTGTTTATGTATGTGTGCACATGATTTCATGTTTGACCTTTTCAAGTTGCATTGGTGTTAGATTTTGATGCCGGTGCTGAATGCTTTCTAATAGTGCAAAACGGCATATGATTTTATCTGATTCAATAAAACAGGTAAAATTACGCATGATAACCTATTTGCATGTAAGCTGATCTGATTATTTTTTTAAATCCAGAATGATGCACAAAATCCCACAATCACTTATGTACAACAAGCACATCTTTACCTACTCTTAATCTTAACATATTGGACGCTTAACAAGCCAGCCACCTTCAAATTGCCCTTTGGGGATAAAAATCTCTGAAATGTTATTTTGCCGTTTCATCGGTTACCTCTCCGCGTTCCTCCCGCCGGCCAATCGCACGCTTCAATCTAATCCCCGGGAGGGAAGATTCTAGTCTGTTGCCACGGATGCCGGGGGGGTCGTGAGGTCAAGTACGGCTAATTTATTCACTCAGTCAGATTTCCTCTGGCTCGTGGATGGCAGATGGAGAGGTCTGATATGATATCACCCATCTGAATCACCCAAGGGAGGGGAAAATGGGAGGGGGGGAGAGAAGGAGGGATGAGAGGAGAAGAGATTGACAGGAGAGATGTAAAAAGAAAGGGAGGAAAGATAGTAAAAATTGGCAAATTAAAAGTGGTTAGATAGAGAGATAGGCGCGAGGGTAGCATAGCCTGCAAGAGTGTGGAGTGTGTTCGCCCCACCGAGTCGTGTGTCAAGCTGAACATTGAGCCACATAGCCTCTTATCAGATGTGTGTGGGTGAAGTGTGTGTATGTGTGTGTCCTTATCTTAAGACAAGTGGTTCTGGTCCAATAAGATCCTGGAAGATGGTAGGAATAAGCGGCTTAGACCAAGATCTCAGATGGAAGGGGGAGGGAGGAGAGATAGCGCTAGGGAGATGAGAGGAGAAGATGACTAGGAGAGAAGAGGAAGAGGAGGGGGCGATGGACAGATTAGGAGGATGGAGGACAAGGAAGGGACATTTGGAAAGAGATGAGACGTGGAGGGCTGTAGAGATCGGAATGGAAAGATGTGATGTGGAAACAGTTTGGAGAAGTTTTTTAAAGAGCAGGAGGAAAAGGGGAGGGGAAAGTGAGAGAAGTTTGGGGTTTGAAATAGTTCTTGGCTTTTTGTCAAAGGGCAGGGATTTACAGGATTTGATCAACAGTGTCAACTCGAGGACACTTTTTCCCAAGAGGTTCTGAGTTTGTGGCTTCAACAACAGTGTCCCCTTAAGAACACTCAGTCCCCAAAGTTTTTGACTTCAAGACTTGGCTTCCAGCAGCTCCTTTATTAAAAATTTTCCACTCCACTCCCTTTTTCCACTACATACAGATTGAGGGCAAGACATTGATCTTTGTCTGTAGAAAAAACTGCATGCCTCTTGTCTCTGAAAGTACCTATCATTAAGAAAAGATGAGGAGGTCTAAGATAAATGTGAAACGGTGGATCTTTTCAAGGCTGTCCAAAGTGGCAGAAACCTCAAGGAATCTGTAAAGTTAGCATCTGTCAAAGGGCAGGTCTCGTCTAATCACAAACATGCGATGTGTAAGAAGATGTACTTTTACCTATCACATTTTGTGTTTTAGGAAAGAACTCAGTTGAGAGGTCACAATGTAGAATTTTGTTAACTTGGCAGAACCGGTGAGCCCACTGTTCTAGTGACTGCCATCACAACAACTTGTTGAAGCAACAAGACCAAAATAAAATATGCTAAGCTTTACAAGTTGCTTTTCTTGCGATCAGTGTTATTGAACTACCCGAGAATCCAAAACAACACTGTAACGCTCAAATGAACTGAAACCAATGCTTGTGTTTTGTATCCCCTCAGTTTGGCGACCACATGAAGATGAGGAACCAGCTTTGACGACCTACGGATGTCCAGCCTCCCCGGACCATTTGGCTTCAGCAACACATCCAAAAACTCTCCAAGAGGGAGGCCTTTACTGCTTATAACCCTGGAGGAAAAACATCATCTTGAGCATTTATTGTATTTATCATTAGGACTGCAGTAGTGTAAACTGTAAAGTCTGTGAAGGACTGAACATACCCACCAGCACTTACCTGGCACGGAATGATCTGGACTGAACTCAGTTCAAGTGAATTTGTCTGGAAACAGATTAACTCACTTTAGTTCTACTGAAGAGAAATGAACTGAATAGAAGCTAACCTGAACTGATGTTGGCTGATTCTCTTTAAGTTCTTCAAAAATACTCTTTCTTCAAACAGCTCTTTTCTGAGCCCCCCCCCCCCTTCAGAAAACCAAATCCTTCAAGACTCCAACCCAGATTCCCTCACTTCCTCAGACCCTTTCCAAGGGTCTTGGACATTGTCTCAATTCTTATTGAGGAGGAATCATCTCCTCCTCCTCATAAAATACTTACGACCTCTTTTGTCTGTCCAAACATGGACCTCCACAGGGCAGCCTTCAAGATGGAGAGTTCCTCCTATCTGCCCAATCCCTTGGCCTCCCCAGCCCTCATGGTCCTGGCCTCTACTGCTGAAGCCTCTCGGGATGCCTCAATTCCCTGCCAGCAGCCACGTCCATTCGGTGTCCCGGTTTCTGTTGAGAAAGACGTCCATTTGCCATTTAACAATGGTTCTTACACTTTTGCATCAATGTACCACCGCCAAGGTGGTGTCCCACCAGGATTCCCCAACAGGGATTTTCCTCCATCCCTCCTCCACCTCCATCATCAGTTTGCCCCACCTAACCTGGACTGCTCGCCAATCAGCATGCTGAATCACAGTGGCGTCGGAGCCTTCAGGCCTTTCGCCTCACCTCCAGAAGATCGGGACGGGGCGCCAGGCGGGTATCAGTCTGCTTTCACCCCAGCCAAGCGCCTCAAAGGCTGTCTGGATCCAGATGCTTCACCCCACCTGCGCTACTCTGATGCAGAGGGGAAAGAGTACGACTTTGGCGGCTCCCAGATCCCTCCTGGAGGCTCACCCAGCAGCGCCTTGAAAGCAGTGGAGGACAGTGGGAAGAAGATCTTCGCTGTATCAGGCCTCCTGTCTGATCGAGAGACTTCCTCCAGCCCTGAGGACCGCATTGAGCGCTGTAAGTAGCAATTCATTGCTGTTCTATATTGCACTCAAGGAAACTAGGACCCCATTGAATGCATACACATGGGTGACAACTGACAAAAACATGAATACATTTGTGGAAACATAACAGTACAGGTCACTGAATGGTTTTATGAGTATGACAATGCTGTGAATCACATACAATGATCACCAGATCTCAACCCAATTGAACACCTATGGGAGATTTCGGAGCATCGTGTTAGACTGTTCTCTTTACCACCTTTATGAAACTACAAAATGAGAGAATATCTTTTGGAGGATTAGTGTTTATGCCTCCAGTAGAGTTTAGACACTTGGAGCTTTCCTACAGGCTTGTGATGGAACAACACCTTAATAAGACACTTAATGTTGGGTTTTTCGTGCATATTTGTCACCCATCTGTATGCAAGATTAGATTGTAACGCATATTAAGACAAATTATTGGAACTTGTTGCATAGTGTGCTCACATAACATTTAGACAACACTCAGACCACATAGACTTGCTCTGTAAGTCTCTTCCAGTGCAAACATAAATCAGCGCCAATATAATTATACACGTGTTGTTTCAGTGTGGTAAAATGAAGAAACACACTACATCACAATTTCCATTATGCATTTCCTTCAGCTTACTAGAAGTTGTTGCACTGATGTACGGTCTCTTGATACATATTAGACACACCCCTAAAAGTGCAACGTGTGCAGGATTGTCACAATGTCACACGTCTAATACTCAACCCACATTTGATCAAAACGGTTCTTAAACCACCATATTCTAGGATTATTCTACAGACAACTGTAATAATTAAACCTGCAAACAACACACATGCACAAACTTGTACATCAAGACTCACAAACACGCACACACAGCCAAATCTAATTCTGGCTCTCAAATGAAAAATTAAAAAGTACAACTTGCTGCAATTTGTAAAAGAATGCAAATTTTTACACACTAACATCACACACGCCAATAAACAATCCCATCTATGTTCTCTTGTCATCATCTCTCCTGGCTCTCCCTATCCTTGTTTCACAACCCCACAAGCTCCACTGGTCACATTAGCATTCACCAGTGGAAGGATGCCATTTGGCCCTCACGCAGTGGGAATCTGATTAGTGTTTGTGTGTGTGTGTGTGTGTGTGTGTGTTTGTGTGTGTATATATGTGTGTGCATGTGTGTGAGTGACTGGTTCAGAGACCGGCCATGCTCTTTGCCATCAGCATTCATCATAGCTCCACGCTGGCAGCACTCTTGCCAAAAGATTTACCCACATACCCAAAACCTTGGCAGGGCCATGTGTGTGTGTAATAAAAGGGAGGTGGGAGAGGGGTTGTGAGAGCTCCAAGCACAAACACACAAGCATCCACAAACACTCTGTTCCAGACACACAAACACCTCTCAGCATGAGCACCAACATCTCCTACACATGTCAACAAGCTGCATCGGATCTCAGTGACAAATTAGGAGAGAGACAGAGACGTGCCTATAGTGTATAATTCAACTAAAAGAGAAAGTCTTTCTCTTTTAGTTTTTTCCCCATTCGGTCTCTCCTTTCTTAACTTCATTTATCTTTCCTTTTTTGTCTTTATTTCTATATTCCTTCTTTCATTTCTCTTCCGCCTCTTGTGAAAGGAGAGCCTGTGTGTGTGTATGTGTGTTTGAAGGATGCATCCTTGATGGAACACATGAGAGACAGAGGCGACGACCTGAGACTGATCCGATAAAAAGACCACCGCAGGAGAGACAGAGAGGGTGAGGAAGAGAAGGGATGAAGGAAGCAATGGAGAGAGGGAAATTGGGAAAATGACACCCGGTGGCTGGCTGGGAAGGAATAAGAAGGGGGAGAAAGATATCAAAGAGCACACAAAGTGCGAGAGGGAAGAGGAACAAAGAGAGGAGAGAAAGGAAGAAATGACAACTCTGCTATGGAACTGTAGTCTCATTAGACTGCTGATTTAAAACCTTTTTTCACGTACATTTTCCATTTGTGCCGACATTGTGCAAAAGCTACTGTAGTACTAGCAAGTGCCTTGCTCAAGAGAACTGTGGCTGTTGAGTGTGAAGTATGTTACTGCCATATGTGCCATGTTATCACTACAGATCTGTGAGCACTAAGAAGGAGGCCAGAAATAGAATAGGAGATGGGTACAGGGCTCCTGTGCTGTCTTTTGGAACGGCTGAATCTGTATCTAATCAGGTTAAATCTTGGCACAAGTAGCCTCCACCTCTACCATAGGCTTCTAATGCAATTGGATGTGCAGAGGCACTGCTCACAGCAAAGAATTATGGGTTCTCCTTCACTGGTTTTGGCTATCCAGTGGAGGCGTAAAGAACAAACAACACTTTGGTACAATCCCATGAGAACAGTGCTCTAGCTGCTTCACACACACATTAGCTAACTAGCAGCCTTCTCGCTGTTTCACACATACCTCTAGAAAATCTCACAGTGAGAAGAGCTTTATAATGCTTCGGATCATACGGTGTCATCATTCTGGTACAAAAGATGAAATATTATTTGCAGGGGTTTCAATATGTATATGATGGCAAACAAATAATGAAAACTACTTGATTCAATAAGTTTCTGAAACTTGAATTCTCAGTATTTTAAGTATATCTTAAGATTGCTTGAGCTACATGGTTTAACCCACAAGGGTGTATCCAGTGCAAGCATGACATTGTAGATTCAAGTCTGGCTAATGGACTTTGAGTCATTTGTGCCATAAAATCTGAATCTGAACAGTGTTGATATTGTTTACATGGATACAATTTATAGCCGTCATTAAAAGGCCGGTATCTCCCTACTAAAAAAATAACAGTGATTATAATTTAATGTTCAAAGCCAACAGAAACACATTGATTTTGCTTGCTTTCCGTTCCTTAAAATCCAAACAATCCAATTTTAAATAAGTATGTTTCTCTCTGGGATACACGCCACGTGATTGCTTAGTTGCTATACACCAACTGTATCAATTCTTTTAAGTCATCTCCAAGCACTTCTGGAGTTTTGACGAAACAATCTTAGTCCTCTCATGAGCCATTTTGGAGCTTACAAACACATATTATGATCTTCATCAGCGATTGGAGCTGGTTCTGTCTTCACAGAGATAGCTTAGTTGTCATTAAGTGACTAATGGAGCTGTTTTGAATGATTACTCAAAAAAGCTGCTTTTTAAAAACATTTACATGTAGGTTTGAACTTTTTAAAAAAAACTTTATTTAAATACATCCTGATCACAAAAAATTTAATTCCACCTCCTGCAGCTCCTCATTGCATTGTACAATATTTAATATAATAATTTGCTTACAGTAATGACAATAAACTCTAAAAGCTTGTTTGGTAAGACAAATATCCAAAGTGTATCTTGGGGAGATTTACACATGCATTTCACAATTTGGTTACCATGGGTACATTTAAATGTTTAGTGAAAGGTGATCTTTGACTTCTTAAAGCTTAAATTATACCTTCCACAGCCACATAGACGCATTTGCTCATGTCAGCGTCCACAAAACCTTTGCGTACAGACAAATATGTATGGCCACTTGGACTGTATGACCGGAACGTATGCACCAAGTGCCTGTGTGAACCCTTTGGCTAGTTCAGTGTCAGTAGTGGGAGTAGTGTGCCTTATATGCAGCAAGACAGAAAGTGGGACATAGATGGACATGTAGCACGTCTGATTTTCAAGCAGGGTAGCTCACTTTGTGATCTGTCACAGACTAGGAATTCATGTCCTCCTCCACAAGCTTTTTAATGTTTGACTTTAAAAAAAAAGAGTCATGATTCCATGTAATCTTGGGTTTTATAGAATCGTTCAGTGCTGAGGTTCTTGTCCTAGTGATAGTGTTGCCTACGCAGATATCCAAAGTAGTATATACAGCTGCATGATCACTGTCCACGTCGGAGTCTAGTTAAAGTCCAGGAGTACATCAGAGCCTTATCACCTGTCCTGCGACGTCATATCCATATCTTAAATGTGCTGCAGATTCTCACTACCACTGCTTTTTACGTCTACCTTCAACCATTTACATATTGAATATGTCTTTTAGTTCTATCCTATCACAATCCAGTCATCTGTCGTGTGGGAAGGTGATCCTTTCATCTTTGCTACACATTAAAACAAGAATGATGTTAACACAACTTGGAAAAACCCTACAACCCAAACTTCCCTGCATGCAATTCTGTCAAGCCTGCCACTCCAAGCAACAGTGGCCTACTCTATGCTAAGCCCTCCCAAATCCCCCCACTGCACTGACAGGCACGTTGGCTGTTAACTAAACCCGCTAACCTGTCATCCGCTAAACCTGCACATAAAGGCCCCATCATGCCTTAAGAGGACTATGCATGTCATATTATTGTAAAAGCTATTAGCATTTACTGTGTTCACATTGTAAGGTTTTAGCACAAGAATGAAGGGCTGAGGAGCAGAGGAGGGTTTTTGTGCATATACAGTAAAAGAGAGACTGGAATTATGGGATGTGTGATTGGAATTAATAGTGTTGACAAATGAAACAATCCACCCTTGCAGTGCACATGTTTGTTTGTGGAGGGGATTTGGTGTTTTTGCCCGACGTGTCAATGCAAAGGTTTGAGTGTGTTTGCGCCTCAGTATCCAGCACATTCTATCATATTTGTTTTCCTCTGCCTTTTACTTCTCTTTTGTTCTCCCCTCCATCATTTTTCCATCCTTCCTTCACTCCCTCCTTCTCCTTGTGTGTGTGTGTATGTGTGTGTGTGTGTGTGTGTGTGTGTGTGTGTGCATCTCCCCAATATGACTGTGTGACAGCTGTAGTCTGTTTGTTTACATTCTCTCCGCTCTCCACATTTACAAGGCTGAGAGATTTACACTGAACCTGACCCTGAATGCCTCACCCAGCTTCCTCATCTTTCTTCTTCCTTCCTTTCCCTTTCTTTATTGCTTTCATTTTCTACACACACAGTTAAAATAGACGGTAAATACGAGAAAGTAAGACAAAGTCAACAAGAAGACAAATGTAC